GTGTTCATGCATTTGTTAAATCTGTATGAAATGCAAAAAAATATAAAGATATTTTGTAGTGAAATTTAAATAATAAGGTCTAGGTTGATTAATTGATTATTTATTGGACAAAAGGTTAAGAATTCAGTTTTAAACATTTTTTATACCCAAATTTATGGAAAAAGAATTTTGTACTGAGCATCTTGCATTCTACAATATGTTGCTTTTTGTATTTTATGCATTGGCATTTGTTTAAGAGAATTTTGATAAGACAAAAGGGCTCCCTGATGGTCTCCATAGATCTGTTGGCAAATTCCAAGAATCTGCCAGGATATATCTCTCAAAAATTTAGAAATATAATATCCTTCGTCGTGATGGAGAAAGATAAACAGTTCATAAAGAGCTTCTTGTTGTTTTTGTTTGTCACCATCATAACACATCACCAACAACATTAGTGTCATCACGTATGGGGGTACAATAATATATTGTGCTTTTGACACGGTAAACTCTAATTGTAATTCCTTTGTCAGCAACATCCCTCTTCTTAACAGAATTTCCTTACTTACAACTCTTTTCATTTTCTCACTCAATGGCAGTCCTCCTACCTCCTCAGTGTACCTATTTTGATCTTTATCTACATGGTATATAATGTATGACTGCATAATACTTGTTTTTATCATTATAAGATTTTTAATTGCATGCTTAGTTCTACCGATTGCGTACAGCAGGTAAGCCAAATAAATCCTATCAGAATAAAGTCCCATTGCTGTGCTTATATGTAAAAGTTTCAAACAAGCATACATAATTCTCAGTTTGCCTTTGTTGTTTAAGTTCTTGGATGTGTTGTATATATGGTAAACAATACATTCGAGGGTTGATGATATAAAATTTCTGACAGCAACACGCTGTATTTGACTTAAATTTGGGGAATATAAACATCTAACTGCAGATTGTAGGTAAGTAAAACAATTCTTGATATTAGACATATAACATGAAGTCTTATACGAATTATAGAAATATATTTTACCAAACAGCTCCCAATCCATAATAAATGTAGAAGTACTATCTGATTGAACAGTACTTAATACATATTGTCTATGACAGATTGCTAAAGTTAAGTTTTCTCTGAATGACTGACAGAGTAATAAACATGCAATCCCTAGTTTGTAAAATTCAGAAAGTCGTTCATACAGTTTCTGCTGTGAATGTCCAAATACTTTAGTAATGAACATGTTGTTTTCAGGAATAAAAAAGTTTGGAAGATAAGCATGATAAACACACGACATTAAAAACTTAAAACACAACCAGAATCCTGACAACAGACTTGAAGGATTCCAGTCAATAAGAGTGTTATTTTGAATAACCCAGAATAAAACTGTTTTCATAAAATACGAACAAAGGAGAGGCTGTCCATTTGTATCTTTTACAGTCAGGGCCTCTTTTAGAAATAATTTCAGTAATCCATAGCACATAAACTGAGTGTGATTCATACAATAAACAAGTTTCTGCTCAGCTTTAGAGAATGAAATCCTCCATTCACAATCTTCCTGTGGTGATCCTTTGAATCCTATTGGTACGACATGACAACCTGAGTTGATGATATCTCTTAAAATATTATTTGGTGGCCATTTTTTAGACTGACACTTCAGAGTAAAAGAACTTGCAATGTATGGCCAGATTTTACAAGTAAAAGAATGTGCAAATTCAACTTCATTCTCACCAATCTTTTTTTGTACACAAGGTCCATGTTGTACATGTGGAATCAAACCTTGCGATAATAATATGCTTTCTCTACATTTTGAACTTGAGATATATAACCCATTATTTATTGTTATAACAGATTGACAAACTAGAGAATTGTGTGTGGGAGTTAGTAACTGTAGCATAACAAACCCAGGACGCTCCTCAGAACACTCCATCAGAATCAGAGTACACCTTTCTGTGTGGTATTGATCTGCATGATTTAAATCCCAAATAACTTGATGATCAGTCAGCCAGAGCATAACGTCCATGTCTGATGCCAGCGGCATATCAAAACCTTCTCCAAAACTTCCACTGGTAATTATTCTTATGTCTGCTATTGGAATCGTTATTATCTCAGAAATATCATTTAATTCTCGTCTTATGGACACTTGTTTAGGCGTACCTACTATGCGAGACATTTCTACGTAAACAGTCTCTGATATCCTGGGTATCTGATCCATTCTGGCTAAAATAAGAATAGTTCATCTATAATTTTTGCACATTTATAAGGATTTACTTTTCATTAACACTTCTCACTTATGGAATATTTTTCCAAACGTTAAGATTACAAAAGAAATGTATAAATTAAGAATCAGTGGGGGATGCAGATGGAGGGGTTTACAGGGGTTGCAACCCCTTTGGATTTGCCAGAGAAAAGAAGAGTTCCAAATATGTGTTGTGTCTTACTGCACTACAGAAAATGATCATTGAAAGGCTAATGTAGTAAAATATGAAAGAATGGGGTTGTGAAAAAGTCAATCCGTTACTAAAAGTAACTTTCGGATAATATGCAGATTTTTTTATTTCTTTGTCAAAAACTTTTAGGTAATCAATATTTTTTTTCGCATGCTTATCTCCCTTAAACATTTAAAATAGATACTGCATCCTTGTATCCTATTAGGTTGTTTAAGGTATTCAATGTATAACGACCATATTTTGTACCTAATAATTTAATGATGCGATAATTTCATCATGTTAGCATTTTGAAGATGTAATCAAATTAAGATGCTCCACCAAAGGAATTTACAAAATTTTGATTCTTGTTTGATTAATTGCATCTTGAATTTTACACTGAAGTCTATGGGCAGCGCATGTTTTTATCAGATATTGTAAAAAGTAATTTGAATTTGATACAATTAAATTTCTTGGTGAAAATATGCATAAACTCTCTCTCTCTTTATTAAACTATGAAATGAAATGAAATAAAATCATTTACCGCAGAAATTTTGAGAAATCAAAATTTTGTCTTCTTTTCATTAAGGGCAGATAACTCTTCAAAAACTTTTAACATGCAAAATGACTGTCTCCTTACATGTTATCAATCTTGTGAATTTGGATCATATAACTTTTATCGTTATCTAGTAATGTATATTTTAACTAGTTTAAAATTATTCAAAATAGTTCAAAATCCCTTCATTATACATTGAATACCTTAACTATATTTCAACGTACGTTATAACAACTCTTTTCTTCTTCACCCCCCCCCCCCCCTTCATCCCCTTTTGAAAAATTTCTAGATCCGCCCCTGAGAATATTTTCAAATTTCAGGTTGAAATTATTGATCTGTAAAGCTGCAGAACTTTAACTCTCTGCTTGAGAAAAGCCAAAATTTCTATCGATAAAAGAAACTAGAAAAACTTCAGCCCTACCTTTATTTACGTTCTATTCTTAAGTTTGGAAAATAAATCAGGAAAACCTTTCTATGTACTTTCGATTTATAAGACGTGTATAAACAGGTATTGACTTGGTACAATGAGATGTCCATCAGACTAATTCATTGTGACAGACTCGGAAAAATTGATTTGCCGAAGAAATCTATACAGCTAGCTTACCTGGAAAGGTCTAACCAAGTTTCTTAACTTCTTTTCTACTCGAGGGTCTGATGTTAAATGGATTGGGGTTGTACGCGGATATGCACTACTTAATTCTTCAAATGATCGATCTATTTTAAATTGTCAAAATTTTAGGAACCCCTTATTCAGGTCTAAAAATATATATGGTATTTTCTTTATACATGTACCCCTGTATTTTTTTTTATATTAATTTTAATCAAAGAATGACGCGTTCTGATGTAATTAATGCTTCACAATTCTAATTTAAAGAATCGCATACCTTTTAAAGTTTTTTTTTCACTTGATCTTTTAATCTGATCGATTTGATTTAAATTTTCTTTCTTGTAGAGAATGAAGCCAGATTTGTACCATAAATGGACCAAAATTAAGTCACTCTGCTTTTAGTAACAGGCTGTCATTTAAGTACATGTATAGCATATCACATTCCAAAACTTAAGATTTCGAATGATTTATAAATAGGATGTTTTTCTTTTTTGAAAAATTATTATTTAATTTACAAAATAGGGTAAAACCTTTCATACAGTGTAGCTTATTATATTTCTTACTTATTTCTACTTTTTTCTGGTGTACGTATAAGAAATAAGTCAAAAACAGATCTTATGGTGGGTGTGTGAAGATGTGTTAGTTACGCTTTCGTTTCAGTACAATATTTTAAAAAGTCATTGAGAAATTTATAACATTCTCATGGACCAAAGGAACCTACCCTATTTTTTAAGTCAAAAGAATTTCCAGAGGGAGAAATACTTTTTAAAGTCATGCATTCAAAAAATCCTTATGATTCACCAGATAAGATGAGCTGTCAAACTTAAATACATGTATTAGCTTCTTGAGGAAATATATTGGATCAAATTTTTACATTTTACATGAAAATATATTCTCCCCAAGGGATACCGTGTCACTGTATGAAAGCAAAGTTTTAATTGCATTGCAATAAACTATGTAGGAAAATCTTTCTTTTCTTTTTTTTTAAATCTCAAGAATCCCTTGACAGAAAAGTTCAACTGCTATGAACATTATTCGACAGCTAACTGACATAATCTGAAGTGGAAAGTGTTGATATTAGGCAATCAGATCACAATTCAAAAATTTAACATAAGTCATGGGGTCTGAAATTTTGAGGGTAGGGTACTAGTGGTAAGTTACAACTTCTGTGAAAAATGATGATGGTACCATCTCTAGTTTTCTAAGACCATATAATACTATGTGAATAAACCTCGGGTTCGGGGACATAGAAGTCCCCTGTCCCGGGGTCTGAAGGTAGGGTACATGTACTAGTGTTCAGTTACCAATTCTATGAAGAAAAAAATGGTGATCGTACCATATCTAGTTTCTGAGAGATCTATAACCCTTGCAGTAATACTATGCGAATAAACATCGGGTTCGTGGACATCTAATTTCCGAGGTGGCGGCGGCGGGAACCAGACTGTAAACAAACATGGCGAATAGTGAAAAAGAAGAGAGTTTCAGTTTGTCATCGGATAGTGATGACACTGATACAGGTTCTTCATCGTCATTTCAACGGAGCAAATATAGCAAAATATTCCCGGACAGAGCTTCCCATTGGAAATTAGAACATCTCTTGGAACTGTCCGTTTTCTATGATGAAAAGGCCACTGATCTTGGAAAATTCATCTCCGATCTGAAAACACTCAAATATGTTGCACGTGGGGGCTTGTCGGAAATGCCAAGAATCAGTCACACCATTATGCAGTACACAAAGGAGTTGTGGAATTTTTCGTACGACTATTACAAGGAAACGGGGGGAGAGACGTGGGAAGCTAGAGATCAGATCGAAAGAGCAACAGAGGCCTTTGAAGAGAAAGAAAATGATATGGAGGAGCAGATGAAATCGTTTGGAGGCAATTGGAAAAGGTAAGTTAAGTCACATTCATATCTATTCATTTTGAAAATAATAGCAGCTGAATAGTAAAGAACATTTAGGCATACAAGTCTCAAAAAGGCATTATCTGTGGTTCCTGGTTACTCGTCAATTTTTTCACCCTCATTAAAAAAACTTGAAAAATTAATTGTAGTATTCTCTTCTGTCTGTAGAATCTGTACCAACATTTTACATTTATTGACTGAGTTCGAGGGCAACATACACGGGTTTGTCTGACCCAAGAACCAAACTGTCTGCCTGATGCCTAATGGTTCGAGGGTTGACAAAACGCATTTTGCCAGAGGACATAGTCAATAAATGTTTTGTTATACCTTTCATTCGATTTTTTTTACATATGGGACTATGTATTTTGTACTGTCTTCTCGTATGAGATTCCTTGACGTCCCTGCAAAAGAGCAGTAGCAAGTAAGGTTACAGAGTTTGTCATGCCTGTTTTCCATTCTTCTGTCCTTTTTAGTTCACCTGAGCTGAAAGTTCTAGTGAGTTTTTCTGATCAAACGTCTGTTCTAACTTGTCCATCAGTAGAGCTTGGTTGTTAGATTACTATGAATGTCTAAATATCCAAATATGAAACAGATATGTCAGACTCTGCTATCTTTTATCTCAAGCTCACCAGGATATATCGTATTGACATAAGAATAGAAATTACCATTGTTAATTGACAATTCATCGTCGATATATCTAACTATTGAGTTGAAGGCCACAGCAAGTGATTTCTTCTTTTCACACATAAAATTTTGCACAAATTCTAATTCATATGAATACAGATATAAGTCTGCTAATAACGGAGCACAATCTGTACCCATGGGAATTCCAATTGATTGTTGGAGACCTGGTGTTCAAAAAGAACATAGAAATTGTCAATCAGGATCTTTATAATATCAACTTCAGAGTACTTGTGTGTACAATCAGAATGTATTTTTATGAAAATAATTTTGCAAATGAACAAGTTTTATACATTGAAATATGTAGAAAAAAATCTTCTCAAGTACCGCTTGGTTAGAAAAGTTGATACTCTTATGGAAACATCTGGGTGTAGTGTAGATTCTAAATTATTTAAATCTTGACTCGAGGGATAGGTGGGACCACAATGGAGAATCCAACTTTTACATTGAAATACATATATGTAGGAAAAAATCTTCTTCTCAAGAACCACTTGATGAGAAAGGCTGAAATTTATTTAGAAGCATCCAGGAGTAGTGTTGAGTCAAAATTACTCAAACCATCACTACTGAGCTGGGCTTAAGACAGGGCCATAATAGTGTAACAAGGGGGGTGGGGGAGGGGTGGGGGTGTCAGGTGAAGAACAGCAGGGTGATAGCTACTCAGGTGAGCGTTGTGGCCCTATGGCTTCTTGTTGACCTTTACCCCTGTCTGCAAGGGAGGGTACTTAGTAAGTAGGACATTTGAAAATGAAATGATGTGCAAGTCCAGTTAGTGCTGATTGTAAAATGTTGCATTTTCTATTATAAATACATTTCATATATGACTGTCCCTTATATATAGATTTGCGAAAAAAGTACTGTCTTCTGAACATCTGTAATTTAAAAGATAACATACTGAAAGAAAATCATTGTAAAGTATTTTGTAATCCTGAAAATGCAGTTCATTCTAGAAGGCTATGTGAATTTTTATATGAATGTTTTGTATTGCGTTCCAAAAATAAAGCGTAATCATAATATATATATTTAATGCATTTATTAGCTCATCACTGTCCATACTATACTGCTTGCATAATGATTATGTTTAACCTTCAAGTTGTAATACTCTGCATAGTTGACTTCACTGATCCATACAGTTGCATGTATGTATGTTTTTTATTATTTGTCTTTTTATGTAACATGGTTGTATGCCAACATGTTTGGTGAATCAATAAAGAAATTGAAATTGAAATTATAGGTTATTTTTTGGATGGAAGATCAATCTCTTTGAGTTTTGGAGACATTTTTCCATGCTTCTTCAGAGACTGGGTCAAGCAACACCAACAGAGGGAAGATTTAAACATCTTTTCATGCCTTTCTCAAGAATATTTTTTCTTTCGCCAGAGTAAGAATATAATTTTAATATTAGTGCAAAAATTAAATTGATTATAGTGCATACAATAGAAATTTAAAGATACATAAGAAAGAGTTTCTGTTATCTTTTCACATTTCAACTTCTTTAAAACCACTAGACCAGTTTCAACCAAACTTGTCACAAAGCATCCTTAAGTAAAAGGAATTCACTTTATTAGCTCACCTGAGCCAAAGGCTCAAGTGAGCTTTTCTGATCACAATTTGTCCGTTGTATGTCGTCGTCGTCGTTGTCATCATTGTCGTCGTCGTTGTAAACTTTTCATATTTTCGACTTCTTCTCAAGAACCGCTGGGCCAATTTCAACCAAACTTGCCACAAAGCATCCTTGGGTGAAGGGAATTCAAGTTTGTTCAAATTAAGGGCCACGCCCTTATTCAAGGGGAGATAATTGGGAATTAATGAAAATTTGGTGGTATGTTTTAAAAATCTTCTTCTCAAGAACCACTGTGCCAGGAAAGATGAAACTTATGGGGAAACATCCTCAGGTAGTGTAGATTCAAGTTTGTTCATATCATGACCCCTGGGGGTAGGGTGGGGCCATAATGGCCGACCAAAGTTTTACATTGAAATATATAGGAAAATTCTTTAAAAATCCTCTTCTCAAGAATAACAATGCCATAATTGATCATATTTATATGGAAGCATCCTCAGGTAGTGTAGATTCAAGTTTGTTCAAATCACGACCCCCGGGGGTAGGGCGGGGCCACAATGGCCGACCAAAGTTTTACTTAGAAATATATAGGAAAATTCTTTAAAAATCTTCTTCTCAAGAATTACAAAGCCATAATTGATATTATTTATATGGAAGCATCCTCAGGTAGTGTAGATTCAAATTTGTTCAAATCATGACCCCCCGGGGTAGGGCGGGGCCATAATGGCCGACCAAAGTTTTACATAGAAATATATAGGAAAATTCTTTAAAAATCTTCTTCTCAAAAATTACAAAGCCATAATTGATATTATTTATATGGAAGCATCCTCAGGTAGTGTAGATTCAAGTTTGTTCAAAACATGACCCCTGGGGGTAGGGAGGGGCCACGATATCATTTTAAACTTGTTCAATTCCTCAAGTAAATGTTGGCTGCATAAAATTTAAATTAAAGTTAGACACATGCATCACCTATATTCAAAAATGTATCAATTTTCAATTTTAGAGTATAAAACATGAACTGTGCAGAGTACGTTTTTATGCGAGAATTAAAATAGATTCAATGTTCTAAAAAAAAGGGACCTGTCGTTTTTTCAGAGCACAATGGCTGACTAAAGTTTTACATAGAAATACATAGGAAAATTCTTTAAAAAATCATCTTATCAAGAATTGCAAAGTCATGATTGGTCTTGGGACTACTTTTGGATTTAATCTATTCAATAATAAATCAATTTCTACATTTTCCTAGCCACAGTGCTCAGGTGAGCGATGTGGCCCATGTGTCTCTTGTTTAAATGATAGACCAAATACTCTTTGAAAGGGATAATACATGTATCAAGAATTAATTGGTTTCTTTTAAAATCTAAAGAACCACTGGACCAAAATAAGTTGAAACAATAATGAAACCTTCTTTAGACTTTATACGTACATAATGATGATTCATATTTGTTCAAATCATCAAATTATGACCCCCCCCCCAAACCACTTGGCAAGAAAAGCTGATAAACTAATGTGTAATCATCCTTAAGTAGTGAGGATTCTAACTTGTTCAAATCATGACCTCCAGGGGTAGGACGTGGTCACAATAGGGAATCCAAATTTTGAAATATGAAATATCTATATTATGTAGAAAAATTCTTTTAAAATCTTCTTCTCAAGAGTCACATGACCAGAAAAGCTTTATCTTTTGTAGGAGCATCCCTGGGTAGTGTAGATGCTAAAAAAATCAAATTATGACCCCCAGGGGGTAGGGGGTAGCCACAATAGGTATTACAAGGGGGGGTGTGATTAAGAACAAAGGTGCTCAGGTGAGCAATGTGGCTCAGGTGCCTCTTGTTTTCCGTTTTTCCTAGCCACAGAGCTCAGGTGAGTGATGTGGTCTATGTTCCTCTTGTTATTGTGGCATTTGATTTGCTTAATGATAACATTTCTCAATGTGAGCATTATAATCTTTGAGTCATAATCCTATATTCCTTATACTTTCTAAACTTTTGTTCAAATCAGTAAAAATAAAACTTCAGATAGATTAATTATTTTATAGGCCAGGGCAGGCTTTTATTGAACACATGGTCATCAAGGATGTTGTTGTGCGTGGTACACCAGCTGTTCGGTTTAATACTTTTCAAGACAAGTATTTAAAGGTGTTCATCGTCACTGAGGTCAGTAATGAATATAATTTTTTTTTCTCATAATTGTAGATTCCCAGAGTAAACAACTTATCAGCTTCTACTCTGAACCAATTTTGGCAAATAACATCAACGGATGTAGGGAGACAGAAATAGTGAATTGTGCCCCCCCCCCTCCCAACCCATTTCTGTTAACATGATTGTAAAAAACATTGAGCCCTCTATCAAAATTTGAATTTAAGGGGTGCTGATGTAGAAATGTTGGAACCACTGGTTGCCAGATTACACAAGTTTTACTGTACTTTGTTCTTTGGATTTGCCATTTTTAAATAATTTGATTTGTTTTGCTGTATTTGTATTAATATCTGTCTCCTCCATTTTCCATGATACTGAATACCACACCTGATCATAACTCGATTGTAATTGTTACAGGCAGAGTTTTGGTTGTAGTTCAGATGCAATCACTAAAATTAAAAAAGATCTTTTGAACAGATGTTCTTTGCCAGTGAATTATTTCGACTTTGCCAGTGAATTATTTCGAATTTAAAGCCAGGTCTTTTTACTTATTCAAGGTCACATTTACAAAATTGGGATTAAGGCTTTAAAAAGATAGCAAGAAGAATATAATTTCCTCCTTAGGCTTATTTTTTGCCTCTACAGTTAAACAAGTCATGGAGGTTTCTGCGTTATCATTGTTATTATGATATATTTTTATTATTTTTTAGGTTAAACTCTATGATGCCTTAAAAGGAAACTTTAACTCTGAGACTTTCACATTTAGAAATGTTGGGAAGGAAGTTCTAGGTCAGCATGGAATAGAACTCCTGATGGAGAGAAAGGGCTCATTTTTCTTCCCCTATGTAGTCGGGATTCTTTGTATTGGAACACTAGTAAGTGTATTATTTTATAATTTTGGTCAGCTGAGTGACTCAGGTGACCTACTCTTTATATCTGTTTTAATCTGTCGCCATGCGCCAGTCATCGTCTGTTAACATTTGATTTTGAACATGTTCAACTTCTTTGAAACCACTCAACTAATTTAAATCAATTTTACCTTATAGCATCTGAGGGTGAAGGGGAGAAAAAATTGTTAAATACATGGTCGCTGTTTCCTTGGGGCTGAGGGGAGGTACCAAAAATACTAAAAGACATCAATCAGTCAAACTTTTGGAATATGTGTAATAAGCATAGAGTCTTATACCATTATTATGAACTTCGTGGCCCCAGAGACAGGGGTTCTAGTGCTTGGGTTGCACTTTTTAGCTCACCTGAGCCGAAGGCTCAAGTGAGCTTTTCTGATCACATTTTGTCCGTCGTCCGTCATTTTTTACATAAAAATATATAGGAGAAATCTTTGAAAATCTTCTTCTCAAGAATCACTGAGCCAGAAAAGCTGAAACTTATGTGGAAGCATCCTGGTATAATGTAGATTCTAAATTGTTCAAATAATGACCCCCGGGGGATGGGTGGGGCCACAATGGGGAATCAAAGTTTTATATAGAAATATATAGGAAAAATCTTTGAAAATCTTCTTCTCAAGAACCACTGGGCCAGAAAAGCTGAAACTTATGTGGAAGCATCCTGGTATAGTGTAGATTCTAAATTGTTCAAATCATGACCCCCAGGGGAAGGGCGGGGCCACAAGGGGTATCAAAGTTTTACATAGAAATACACAGGAAAAATCTTTGAAAATCTTCTTCTCAAGAACCACTGGGCCAGAAAAGCTGAAACTTATGTGGAAGCATCCTGGTATAGTGTAGATTCTAAATTCTTCAAATAATGACACCCGGGGGATGGGTGGGGCCACAATGGGGAATCAAAATCTTCTTCTCAAGAACCACTGGGCCAGAAAAAGTGAAGCTTATGTGGAAGCATTCTGGGGTAGTGTAAATTCTAAATCGTAGGAATCATGACCCCCGGGGGAAGGGCGGGGCCATTATAGGGAATCAAAGTTTTACATAGAAATATATAGGAAAAATCTTTGAAAATCTTCTCCTCAGGAACCACTGGGCCAAAAAAGCTGAAACATATGTGCCCATGGAAGGATCATGGGGTAGTGTAGATTTCAAAATGTCTAAATTATGATCAGTGGGGTAGGGTGGGGATGCATTATGTATAACAAGGGTGAAATCTGGTAAAGAACAGAATGGTCAAAGCTTCTCAGGTGAGCGATGTGGCCCATGGGCCTATTGTTTAGATTATAAGAGAAAGTGCATTAATTCTTTGAAATCTTCTCTGCTCCTGGATTTTAGACAAAATATCAAACTATATACATCATTTTGATGAGCTCGGGTGCTTCTTCAAGAATTGTGAACTTCATAGAGCTCTATTGAAAATGCATTAATTTGCAAATTCTCTCTGCTTCTGATTGATTGATTGTATATTGTTTAATGTCCCTCCCAAAAATTTTTCATTCATATGGAGACACCACCACTTGCAGGTGGAGGGCTACAAATTTTGTCCTATGCTCGGCACAAAGGGCCTTTGAGTAGTGAGGGATCTTTTTTGTGCCAGCACCTACTGCGACACAGGGCCGCGGTTTATATGGTCTCATCCAAAGGACCAGTCTCCACGTCCCACAGTGGGATTCGAACCCGCAACCTAAGGATTGACTACTTACTTTGCGACTCTATAGCAGACGCTCTATCCACTGCGCCATGCTGGCAACTCTATCTGCAACAAACATTTATGATGAGTGAGGGTGTCTTTTCCAAAATTGTGAAATGTGTTGCTCCAGGGTCAGGGGTTCTTATGAGGTGGGGATGCTACTGAATATTGCTGATTATAACTGATGAGTTGAAATGCATTTATTTGTTCCCTTTCTCTTCCTGCATAAATTAAGTAACCAAACTTAGTTTTTAAGTGTACATAAATGGGTGCAATGGTACTTCTTTCAAAATTGTGAATGTCATGGCCTTTGGTTTAAAAAACAAACTAAATTTACTTCTGGAAAGTTGTTACATAATGCTAAGGTAAGCAATAAGGCCTGTGGGCCTCTTGTTAGTTCACCTTAAGGAGGAATGCCATACCAACTTTTTATTTTATAGATCTCTGAGTCAACCTTTTTAAACAAAGGTTTCAGCATTGAAAGGCCGACATAAGCTCTCAATTATTTTATAGGAATTTTTTTGTATTTTTTCAAAGAAAATGAAAAAAAAATATTTACATCAAAATAAGATGCTTTCTTGTAAAAATTTTGCTGTAAATGAATGCATCACATTAATATCTAATAAATATGTCAAGAAAAGCCATATAGATATTAAAAATTTTTAGATAAAAAAAATATTTATGAAAATAAAACACATAATTTGTGAATATTTTTAGCTCACCTGAGCCGAAGGCTCAAGTGAGCTTTTCTGATCACATTGTGTACTTCGTCCGTCCGTCCGTCTAGCTGTCCGTCCGTAAACTTTTCACATTTTCGACTTCTTCTCAAGAACCACTGGGCCAATTTTGAGCAAACTTGGTACAAAGCATCCTTGGGTGAAGGGGAATTTAAATTGTTAAAATGAAGGGCCAAATCCCTTAACAAGGGGAGATAATCAAGAAAAGACAAAAATAGGGTGGGTTTATTAAAAAATCTTCTTCTCAAGAACCACTGGGCCAGAAAGGCTGAAACTTATGTGGAAGCATCCTAGGGTAGTGTAGATTCTAAATTGTTCAAATCATGACCCCCGGGGATTGGGCGGGGCCACAATGGGGAATCCAAGTTTTACATAGAAATATATAGGAAAAAACTTTAAAAATCTTCTCAAGAACCACTGGGCCAGAAAAGCTGAAACTTATGTGGAAGCATCCTGGGGTAGTGTAGATTCTAAATTGTACAAATCATGACCCCCGGGGGTTGGGAGGGGCCACAATGGGGAATCCAAGTTTTACATAGAAATATATAGGAAAAATCTTTAAAAATCTTCTTCTCAAGAACCACTGGGCCAGAAAAGCTGAAACTTATGTGGAAGCATCCTGGGGTAGTGTAGATTCTAAATTGTTCAAACCATGACCCCCGCAGGTAGGGCGGGGCCACAATGGGGAATCCAAGTTTTACACAGAAATATATAGGAAAAAACTTTAAAAATCTTCTTCTCAAGAACCACTGGGCCAGAAAAGCTGAAACTTATGTGGAAGCATCCTGGGGTAGTGTAGATTCTAAATTGTACAAATCATGACCCCCGGGGGTTGGGCGGGGCCACAATGGGGAATCCAAGTTTTACATAGAAATATATAGGAAAAATCTTCTTCTTAATAACCACTGGGCCAGAAAAGCTGAAACTTATGTGGAAGCATCCTGGGGTAGTGTAGATTCTAAATTGTACAAATCATGACACCCGGGGGTTGGGCGGGGCCACAATGGGGAATCCAAGTTTTACATAGAAATATATAGGAAAAATCTTCTTCTTAATAACCACTGGGCCAGAAAAGCTGAAGCTTATGTGGAAGCATCCTGGGGTAGTGTAGATTCTAAATTGTTCAAATCATGACCCGAGGGGGGGGGGGGGGGGTTAGGGCGGGGCCACAATGGGGAATCAAAGTTTTACATAGAAATATATTGGACAATCTTTGTTAAGCTGAAACTTATGTGGAAGCATCCTGGGGTAGTGTAGATTTCAAATTGTCTAAATTATGATCAGTGGGGTAGGGTGGGGTCACAATATGTATTACAAGGGGGAAATCTAGTAAAGAACAGAATGGTCAAAGCTTCTCAGGTGAGCGATGTGGCCCATGGGCCTCTTGTTTAAATTTGTGGTTAAAATCTTCTTAAAACCAGTCAGAACTGGGGAGAACATGTTCATTAATCTTATTTATAAAAGAAGTTGAAACAAATTAGCGAAATTTTAGATAAATTATTTTTTTTAATTTTGGCCAATCCCGATCAAAATTAAACCGATCCCAACCATAATTGTACAAATATTGGAAATAAATAACATTTCCCCAAGAACACTAGTCTGATTAGGTGTAATAAGGGTTAAAACATTATTGAACTTGACAATAAAATAGATTGATTTCATTGTAAATACAGGAAGAGGCAATAAATTAGTAGTTTATTCATTTTGTGTTAATTTTGATCAGGATCAATTTAATTTTGATCGGGTTAGGTACAAATATTAAAAAAAATTAATTTCTCTAAAATTTCTCGGTTTCGTTTCAATTTCTTTTTAAAATATGATTGACAAACGTTCTCCTCAGTTGTGACTAGTTTTATGGTGTTTTTAACCATAGGTTTAAAAAATATTCACAAATAATGTGTTTTATTTTCATAAATAATTTTTTATTAAAAAAAATTAAAAAGTCTTGCCAGCCTTTCTTTACATATTTTATTAGATATTAATATGACACATTCATTTACAGGTAAACTTTTAACTCGAAACCATCTTAGTTGGATATAATTAATTTTTTCCATTTTCTTTGAAAAAATACAAAAAAAAATCATATAAAATAATTAAAAGCTAATATCAACCTTTTAATGCTGAAACCCTTGTTTAAAAAGGATGACTCAAAGACCTATAAAATAAAAAGTTGGTGTAGCATTCCACCTTAAGTAAGGTTTTTAGAAACAGACCTTTGTTCTTATTGAAGATTCATTTTGAAAATACTAAATTGCACAACAACTAAGTTACTATAGATTTGGTATGAAATTAAGGAAAATCATTTTATGAAACGGGGAAACATATAATAAAACATGGACTCTTATCTATTCATCTAAAATAATCTCACAAAGAGGTAGATTGATGCTATTTGTGTAAGCCGAATTTTATATGAAGTAAAATGAAGAGCATAGAAGAGTTGTTAAATATTTTTTATCTTCTTATATTTAGGTAATTCTTACGTATCTGCACATCGATGAGGATCATTTTCATCAGATTGAAGAAAAGGGAAAACTTAATAAAACCAGCAAGGCAACAATTTCTTACACTAGGCCATTTGATTTCATGGACACGAGTGATAGGCAGGAAATTTTGGAATCTTTTTTCTGGTTAGGATATGTCCAATCAAATGCTTACCAGTTTAAATGGAAGTAGAATTTATTAATTGTTCATTCTTTCTTTGTAACTCAGGGTAATTGTTATGACCCATTGAGAAATCTTGGGGGTAATTTTATGCAATGCAATCAAATAAATGTGTTTTTTGTTCAACAAAATAGGTAGATGTATGTATTTAAGTTTTGTTACCATTAAATGCTCATTTTCTTTTTAAAAAAAAATATTCATTTTCAAATGTATGACACATGCACTTATACAGACAATTTTTAAACTTATTTAAATAAATCTTTTGTTATTTCCATTTTAATTTGGAATTAAAAAAGTATAAAATCTCATTTGTATCTTTGTATTTTCACTATGTTATATATATTTTTTAGAATTTGATGTAATCCTTTTGTAGTTTTTATGGATGACACTTGTATGTACATGTATTGTCACTACCTATTGTTGACTTGATTTCAGTAAAAACGAAGAAGACACTATATTTGTTATGTTCATATAATTGCTTGATAAAAAATACCCCCCCCCCCCAAAAAAAAAAAAACATACAGGAAACATATGTAGTTATGTTGCATATGTTGCAAAAACGAGAAATACATGTACCTGACTGTTTCTCACAAAAAGTTTTTACATTATTTCATACGATAAATTTTGGCAAGATTTGGTATCATTAAATATTGTTTTCCGAGATTTGTCATCGTTAAAAAGACTTCGATATCACAAGATATCCCTCACCAAAAGAAAAAATGAATAACCAATGTGTTAATGAAATACTGATGCCTCCGTATTGCAGCTTATGGTGAAGGTTAATGTTTTGCAAGTGCAAGTTGATTTCCAAGATTAAGATCAAAATTGCTGGTATCAAGAGAAAGTATTTTAACAAATATTAGTATGAAAGCCCTAGTCATAACTGTTCAAAATTTATGGCCAAGATTTCAATTTTTACAAAGTGCAAACTGTAAGGTCAAGGTCAAAAGGACAACATTGTTGATACAATGTATCAAGAGAAAGTTCCTATTACAAGTAATACATATGTGAAATATGGAAGCCTTCGTTTTGACTGTTCAAAAATCATTGCCAATGTTAAAGTTTTTACTTGTGTGGATCAAACTCTAAGGTCAAGGTAAAAAATCTTGACACCAGTTGAAAAGTCTTGTCACAATAAATACACTTGTGAAGTATGAAAGCCCTAGCACCAATTGTTAAAAGGTTTTGGACAGAGTAAACATTTGGTTTTTTGTGTAAAATTGTGTCAAACTCCAAGATCACAAGAAATACAAAAGTTATGGACAGACTGACAGGGAAAAAAGTATGTACCTCTGAATCTTCTATTACGGAACATACTGAAAAAAGATGTATTTGTGAATCATGCATGCCCCTATGTGGCAGCTTTCAGTGAGGGTTGACTGTCTTGAAGTCTCTCAATTGCAAGTCAAACTCCAAGGTCAATGTTGTTGTTATCCCAAGGAATAACTTGCCATACAAAATACACCTTATAATGTGCTTAGTGTTCAAAAGTTATGACCAAGGTAAAAGTTTGTAAAAGTAGGCCAGACTCAAAGGTTAAGGTCAAAGTAGTTATACCCATTAAGAGGTCTTGTCACAAGGAAGTGAAATATGAAAGCTCAAGCATAAACTATTCAAAAGTTTGACCAAGGTTGAAATATTTAGATAAAGGTAAAGGTCAGGAGGTTAAATTTGGTGGTACTCTAGGAAAGGTCTTGTCACAAGGAATGCACTTGTGAAATATGAAAGTACGTACGTCATAATCCAACCCACTAAAAAGTTATGCCAGGCAAGGTTAAGGACGTAAGCAACTTACCTTACCTACTGATAATTTTTCAAGATATTCTAAATTTAAACTTATAATACCATTGCATGTTCATAGATAAAAAATCAGCATGCGTTACCAGGGGTTTTGAGAGGATATCAATTTTTAAAAAAATTTAATCAAAGAAATATGTACCAAAATTACAAAACTTAAATTCCAGATTTTTTTTCATCAAAAATTGTTTTAGAAGAGGTGTACAAATTCATATATAGACATTTAAAATATTGCACACTGGTCCTTCATTTAGTGGAACTCTTCATCTCCAGGGAAGAACCCAATAAAGTTCAAACTACGTTGCGTATGACCTTAAAGTTTTTGCAGACAAGCAGACAGACGGTCAGGGCAAAATTATGTACCACTCTCCCCGCCCCCAAAATTTGCGATAACGGGGGCATACAAAACATTAACTGAAGAAGCAGTGTCTACCAATACACTTTTATTTGTTTGCTTATATGTTGTTTAACGTTCCTCTCCAGTATTGATACACTTTTGTAATCTTAAATGTATTACTGCATGTTATGAACATTAAAAAAAACCATTTGTTTGTAGATCAGTTAAGTTTATTAGGTCACCTGAGTAAACTCAGGTGACCCATTGCTATCCGTTTTCGTCTGTCGTCGTGCGGTGTACGTCGTGCGTCGTGTGTTATTAACATTTGAACATTTTCAGCGTCTTCTCTGCAACCGCTCAACCAATTTCAACCAATTTTGGCATAAAGCATCTGTTGGTGAACGGGAACAAATATTGTGAATTTCATATTCCCTGCCCCCCCCCCCCCCCCCGAGGGGTGGGGCCAAAACCAATAGAATTAGTGCAATCTTTAAAAATCTTCTTTTTTACTCCTGGATATCACGCAGTCAAACTGTTGGCATGACTGTAATGAGCATTGAGTCCTCTACCAAATTTGTGAAATTCATGGCCCCAGAGTCAGGGGTTCTAGTGCTAGGGAGAGGCTATATAAATGATATAGTGAAAATGCATTAATCATGTTAATTCTTTGAAAATCTTCTTCTCTGCTTCTTGGTATTAAATAAACTAATTAAGTGCATAGTTATGATAAGCAAGAGTGCCTCTTTAAAATTAAGACTTTTATGGCCCCAGGGTCAGGGGTTCTGGTGTTAGGGCGGGGCTCTATGGATTTCATAGTAAAATTGCATTAATTCTTTGAAAATCTTCTCTGCTTCTTGGTATTAAATAAACTAAGTACATAGTTATGATGAGCAAGAGTGCCTCTACCACAATAGTGAATTTTTTGGCCCCAGAGTTAGGAGTTCTGATGTTAGGGTCGAGCTCTATTGATTTATGATATAGTGAAAATACATTAAATCTTTGTAACCAAACTAAGCAATTGCTAAGTGTATAGATATGATGAGCAATGGTGCCTCTTTCAAAATGAAATGCCATAGCATCTAGCTTAAAACGTTTACTAAATTCAATCATTTGAAAGTTGTTCCATGATGCTCAGGTGACCGATAAGGCCCATGAGCCTTTTGTTTCAAATAGATTAAGGTGATCCAGTTTTGGAATACCGGTTAATCAAGAGTGTCGATATGGGTTGAATTGTTCAATTCACTAATTTAATAAGTTGACTATTTGAATGGTAAATGGTCCAGTTTTGGAATATTTAGTTACTTGGTAGCTATCCTCCTGATCACATGATGATTGCAATTTTGTACATATAGAGTTGTCTTCACTAGATTTATTGATGTCAAAGACACCCGTTTAAGCTAAAGATGAAATCATTCAGCATTTTTTTAATTGAAATAAAGGCATACAGAATACTCACTTTCGTGTCCAATGAGGTTATGAGATTTACAAAAAAGGATGAGGTTTGCAGACACATAAGGTAGTCCTAAGTGCATTATTGCTTGTTGTAGGGATTTGAATGAAAGTTTGTCACATTAATAAAGTTTTTTTGAAAGAGACTCAAGTAATCCAGTTTTGGAATAGTTCCTTTTCAAAAGTGTTGATAGAGGAGAAATTTTTAATACACTAATTCATATCAATGGCATTTGAATAAAACCGATTGATAATTGAAGCTACATGTATGACATAAACATATAATGCTGTTTCATTTATAAAGATATCAACTTTAATTGGAATCGTGTCGTCCATATATTATTTTGCTTTGTTCTGTTGAAAGAAACGTACATTATTTTGCTCACATGTGACATGAATACAGCATGGACCTTGTTCTTTTGTCGTAGAGGCACTAAGACATCGCCGGAATGATTCCCTGTCCCAATTCTTGAGACACTCTGCAGTATCTGGGGGTGTTGGCTTTTGTCGGGGTCGCTGTGGGTATTGCCAGTATTGTGGTAGGGGTGGATAATGGACCATTTCATCTGGCAGGCGGATCCCTCATTCCATGAATATTGGTACATCATATTTTCTTTTATCTTTTAACATACGTTCGATCCCTTATTTTACTCTGGAACCTTATATTAGGTACATGTAATTAAGAAATAAACAACAATGTTAAAAAAGTTCTCTGGGAAATGAACTTTTCGTTGGTCACGTGATCAAATCCTGTGAAGCCCGAAGGGCTTCTCAGTAGATTTGATCACGTACCAACTAAAAGTTCATTTCCCAGTGAACTTTTTTATATTGTTACTTATATATGGTATTTACATTTGAAACGAATACATTTCGAGTTAACTTGTATTTATTACATGAACGGGCCAACGATTTGCTATGTAGTGACGCGCAATAACCTAGAAGTTGTTTGGTCAAAATATCACATCGCTCTGTGATCCGGTCACGTTAATTATGACCTCTGACCCCCAAATGAAATTCACACAGAATTGAACGTACTAGTATATTCTTTTCAATAGGTTCAATCATCTAAGTAGATATTTGCAAATGTAAATATTGGTTATTGGACGTTTCAAATACAACAACAAATTTATGATTGTGGACAGTTAATCCAGAATGTGTACGTGACTGTTTGAAGCTTTTAAGTGGCGTTTTCCTTGAAATTATCCGATAATTATATGGCGCATATTTGGGGATTTAACCCCCTTCCCCGCAGTCACGCATGTTAACGCATATACCATTTCCTATCTCTAACGCAAAATTACGCACATACGGCTATTTTCATCGTCGCAAACCACGGCCAAAATGTACGATTCTCTCCCATTCTGCAAGATAATATAATGTTGTCAAGAAAAGCGAAAGAAAAGAATAAATAGGAGACCCCTGCATTTAAGACGAACTTTACAGTCTACATCTCACCCACAAAGACATCAAAAGCAGGGACCACAACTCTTTGAATCTGCTTGTTTTTCGTTTATAATGTTTATGTACCACAGTCAATTAAGGAATCCGACCCATATTAAGACCAAA